AAAGAATAAAATTTGATGTAAAAAAGGACACCTAATTCTATTAGAGAAAGAAGACTGAAATTGGTAGGGGGCGGACCAAATTAGAATAGAAGTTATCAAGAAAATAGAAAGTCAAATTGAATTAGAGAAAGAAGACTGAAATTTGTATATTTCAAGAAACCTTCTAATCTAAGTAAAAAATGATACCTAATTCTAATTGTAATTGGTTGCCTATTTGGTGTAAAAGACCATAAAAACTAGGATCCTTTGATTCTTTTCTTTAAACTTTTCCAAAAAAATTCCTTGTCTATTTGTCTTACAATACTTGCCATTAATATCATTTCCGACTAGAAGACTAGAAATTAAATTAGGTTGTAACTAGGATAGAGAACTTAGTTAAGTAAGAACTACGTAGGTTATAGATACTAACTACGAACTAACTACTAACTACTAAGTCGATTCGGTTCGGATCGATTTCGATTTTCATATGTGAAAACCAAAACCGATCCAAACCATCAGTTTATGATTTTTTACGATCCAAAACCAACTGGTGTTAAAGAAAACCCAACCGATTCGGGTTGAGTCGGTCCGAATTAATCGGTTTGATCGGATTAGTCTTCTTATGAACAGTCCGAGAAAGTACTTTGAGATGAATGATGATACTACTATATGGATTCCCAAAGAATATGTCAATACTAGCATCGAGTTTGCCCATATGCATAATGAAGATCCTAGTCACCTCTACTTGTTGGATAAGGAACTTTAGCATTAATTAGATTGGGTTTCTTTCTTTTAAGCACTCAAAGAGCAATGTCGTTAGACTAAAGAAGACATTGACCACGTGATAATCCCACTACATGTACATAATCATAGAAATTCCATTTACGTTTCAAAGTTATCATCTTTACTTTTTCCTTTATCAACTTTGTCAATACCCGATTTTTGTTCGGTTTGTCTTCTAAACCCTTAATTCGATTCTCAACATTCGATTTTGATTTTTTAGAAATACTAAAAAACTCTAAAAATTCAAATTTTAGCTCAAAGACCCCTAAATTCTCCATTAAACTCATTCGATTCCAATCTGATAGCCCCGATTAATCCCAATTAGACTAAGATTCTATTTTGAGCCCTCTGATTAATTTAGACACATACAAYTCAAATCTCCTTGATTTTAACAATTCTAAACCAATCAAACCATACAATTGAACCTAAAGCACACAAAACGTCTATCCATAAAGTTTGAACCCAAAATTCCCACATTTACCCCTCCATTAAATCGAAATTTCACTTTTGACTCTTTTGTAAGCCCAAAATTCCTGTGATCTTTACCTCTTGAACCAATCAGATATCACCATTAGGTCCCAGATATCCTAAAATCCCTACCTACAAAATTTTATTCCAAAATACCTTTGTTTTTCCTTCCATTGTACTAAGATTCCATTTCAAAGTTTTGGGTTAATCGAATTGACCCCTTCTAAAATGTCCGGTCTAAGCCTAGTTGGGCCAATTTGACTCTATCAATCAATCCAAAATGGTAAAAAAACCCACCTTGTCAAATTTAAACAAAAGTTACCTTTATTTATCCCTCTATAAGGCTTTAAATTAACCAAATCAAGCCCGTTCGGATCTGCTTAATCCAGATCCAATTGGACCATTCTGACCCTACCAAGTACCAACCAACCCATAATGTTCAAAACCATGCTCTGCCAAATTTCAATAAAAAAGACCCATATTTACCTCCGCAACCAAAATGGAATCATTTTGGCTAATTTCCACACACACCACTTCATACTTTGACCTACAACTCCACCATTACAGTAAATTGGAATTTCGGTTTGATGCTCTCAAACTCAAAATTACAAAAATAACTAATTTAGAAGAGATCAAATCAGCCCCACACAACGTCCCACAGCACATCCCCAATCTTGTCGCGGGATGATTTGAACTCAATTTCGAAAGAACTGTTCATCTCCTTCCCCGGAAACCGCGACGGACGGTTAGCCCGATCTCTTCTTCCCCGTTTCTCTCTCCTCCCCCTCTCTATATATCTCTCCCTCTCTATTTTTTCTTCCCCTTCGTTCTCTTCTTCTTCTCCCCAGTTCTGCTTCCCTGTTCTCCAACGCCACCGCCGCTGCGATTCTTGGCAGCGGCGGTTCGGCCCGTTATTCTCCCTATCCATTCCCTCTTTTTCCCTACCTCTCTCTCGTTTCCCTCAACTTATGAAATCCGTGAGCGTCACCCCTGTTCGGGTATCTCAGCCATAACCAGAGCCGAAATAAACATTCCTCCGACACCTGCGACGTTGCTACCCACTCGAACCTTGGMCAGACGCAAGCTGATATCAACTCGAATCCCCTCTGTAAGAAGCCCATCCCAAAACTGCAGTATCAATCTCTTCTTTTAAACAACACGGGCCAGAGATTCCCCCTAGTTCACATTCTATCTGAATATCAAGGACAAGAATGGACGGTCGTTTCTTCCTTCGGGCATCGGTCTTCGATGGATACTTTCAGTAACGCCGGCAAGGCCGACCTCAGTCCAATTCGCATCGCGAAACAGAGACTGTGAACGAGAACTGCGACTTTCAAATGGGCCATTGAACTCCAACCAGATGTACTGATCTCCACCGATCTGCTTTCAAACGTTATTGGCGATCAGACTCCAATCGAATCCATCGTACACGAGTCAAGGTATGAACCCGTGATGTTGGTAAGCTCTCGGTGGAGCCAGTGTTCTTGTGTTCTAGAGATCGGTACCATCTCCCAAACTCTGTTCCTGTGTTGGCATTGAACCTCCCCTCTTTGGGCTACATTACACACAAGGTGAGCTAGTTCTTTTATTTATTTATTTTTGGCATCGTTTTAACATTCGGACATCTATTTTGATCTGTTTAATGTTGGCCTCTCACCGTGGATTCAGGCTATTTTGATCTGTTTAATACTGGTCTTTTAACATAGGCATAGGCATCACCGCATTCATCTAGTGAACGGGATCATTTTCGAACAATCTATTTTGATCTGTTTCAGTCCCGTTTATGGGATGAAGACTCATCCATACCCCAATATAGTATGGAACAGTCTCGTCCACACTCCAATATATCGTGAAAGGAAAAAACTCTTAAATACATCCCTTCCAAAGTTTATTTTTGATCCCATGCTTCAAGGAGTAAGGGTCAGAGGTTGTGTGATATAAGACATACTGCATGTGTGATCTAAGACATACTGTACAAAGATATACCTTTAGTTTTATCTCTAAAATTTCTACAATTGCATTTTGACTATATGATCTAAAATATTAATTATTTTACTTAAATTTTTAAATTTTATAAAATTTTAATATTTTTATCAATAAAATAGTATTTTTACAAATTAAAAATATATTTTTTAATTTTTTTACTATTGTTTTATAAAAAGAATTAATATTTATTGGTTAATATTAATTCATTGATGCATTTTTTAAAACATTTATCATATAAAATGCAAGAATTAAATATTTATGATTAATTTTATACATCATTTATAAAATGTATAAAAAAAGTGTCAATACCACGCTAGATAAATTCAAACAGCTGTGGACTATAGTATAGTATGGATTGATCCATGCTTCAAAACACCCCCATAGATTAGATACAACATTTAAATTCTTATAACTCATGCCAACTTTTCTCCCTATGAATTAATTTTCTGGGCTGTATTGGGATAATTTTGAGGGAAGAATTAAAATTGATAAATGAATTTTCTTTTTTCTTTTATTTAGAAATGCAGAGGGACTAGATTAGTTTGACAGGGGTCTTCTCTTTTTCCCCTTTGCAATGCGGAAAATAAATAACCACCCAAACACGGGGAAGATTCATTACATGCTCACTAATAAAGGTTAAGTCATCACGGTTTGCATCGATTTTCAACTACTAATTAAAACCCTAAATATAAAAAATTAATAAATAACAAAAAAGAAATGTCAAAAAGTTGATGGTCTAAATGGTACCTGACCATTTGCAAGAATTAACAAACAAAAAAAAATGTAGTATTTGATAATGCCCGGGCACCAATGAGAATTGGCAAGTTTACAATTAGTGCCTTTCAACTAAAGTTGTACATAATTGATGCTAAGCTAGAAAATATTTTGTCTAATATTTTATATAAGGATTTGAACATGATATATATATATATATATATATATATATATATATATATATATTCTATTATATCTTGATATGTATCATTTTTTAAAAGAAAAAAATAACCAATGCAATAGTATGTAATGAGGATGAATATCCACAACTCAATGGTTTCCTTTTAGAGATTATATATCAAGGTGAAAATTACATATGATTAGAAGAAATCCACTAAGTAATAATTTAATATAATTATTTGGACATCAAAAAATTGTTACAACTCTAGAGTTACATTCCAAGTTAGATTCTTTATAAAGGTTCATTATAAGCTAGTTTTTGACACATTCAATCTTCTAGGTATGAGCCATTAAATTGGGTGTGTTGACCCTCAATAACATGACTACTCTAAGGTTTAATTGTAGAATGAGAATTTTAAAAATACTTTTCTTGTTAGCTACCCTTTTTACAACACTACTGAAAGATAACCTTTATGATCCATGGATATATAAGATTTTGCATCATATTTCATTTTTTATTATTTATTTTTTGGGTACCTACAGTAATATCTGTTTCTTAATAATAATTATCAATCTCTTCCATGCATGTGTAGGTGGCATTGTACCAAGGGACCAACCTAGCTCCTTGCACCAAATAACACATACAAATGGAGTTAAACTTCACCACTAGAGTCTTGTGCTTCATCCTCTTTTCCTTATTTTGGATTTGTTTGGCCAATGCCTTTGTCTTCCCAAAAGAAGCCCTTCCCACCCAAAGTGGCTACCTTCCAATCAACCCAAAGTCTACTTCTAGCATGTATTATGCATTCTATGAAGCGCAAAACCCGATTTCAACTCTATCTCAAACGCCTCTCCTCATTTGGCTCCAAGGTGGCCCAGGCTGTACTTCCATGGTTGGTAACCTTTATGAAGTTGGCCCTTGGATCGTGGATTTTGAACACCCAAGCGATGAAGACTTTATGCAATTTAACCCAAGTTTAAAACCAAATCCCGGTGCTTGGAATCGTAAGTTTGGCTTACTTTTCCTTGATAATCCAATTGGGTCTGGTTATAGTATCGCTGCAACACCTGAAGAAATACCAAGGGATATAGATACTGTTGTCAACCATCTTTTTGTTGCACTCAATGCATTTATGTCCTTAAACCAATTATTTAAGTCTCGCCCAATTTATATCACTGGTGAGAGCTATGCTGGAAAGTATATTCCCGCAATCGGGTGCTATATTCTACAACAAAATTCCCTTGTATCTACTTCCCACAAATTGAATTTAAAGGGAATTGCAATTGGTAATGGGTGGATTGACCCTATTAACCAATTGACTTCAATTCCCAATAATGTATATTTCTCAAGTTTAATTAATGAAAAACAAAAGATCGAGCTTGAGGCACTTCAAGTTGAGGCAATAACACTAGCCGGAGAGGGAAAATGGAGACAAGCAACTCAGGCAATTAAGGATTTCATGCACAAGTTGCAACAAATGACAGGTTTAGCTACTCTTTTTGATCTTAGGAGGAAGGATCGCTATTTAAATGAATGGGTTGGTGAATTTCTTGCCGAAGAGGATGTAATGATGGCTTTCGGTGCAAAGAGTTTGATTCAAAAAACATGCAGCAGGGACGTAAGTGAAGCTCTAATAGAAGATTATATGCAGTGTGCAAGATACATGATAGAGGAATTGTTAAATAAGACTAAGGTCTTGCTATACCAAGGAGAATTTGATTTAAAAGCTGGGGTGGTTGCCAACAAAGCATGGATAAATCAAATGAGTTGGGATGGTGTAGAAAAATTCCTAATGGCTAGGAGAAAGATTTGGAATGTAAATGGATCACTTGCAGGTTATGTGCAGCAATGGGCGAGCTTGACTCATGTTGTTGTTTTAGATTCTGGGCACATGGTACCTACTGATCAACCTGTGAGTGCTCAAGAAATGATTGAAGATTGGATCCTAGAGCGTGGTATTTTTGTAGATTAGAAACAGGCATAACTCAATGAAGTCCAAATTTAGAGGACTCTCATTGAATTCTTGTCATGTTTGTTTTGTTTGAATGCAAGTTGTACTAAATGAAGAGATGTTTTGGGATATTTCTATTATAAAAGCACTATATGTTGTCAATGTTGAACACCTTATGTGTGAGATGATAGTGGCCTTGACATGTAACATCTCATCCATAACCTAGTTGTATATGTTTTACAATTTTACAATTTATAGTGCTTTCTTAATAAAAAAAAAAGGAAAACTTATAAAATGTTTAGATAGGCTAGCATGACAAAGAATTTACCTCTGTGATATATTGGAGAAAGGTTGCAGCATATATTGATGTTGTAAATTTGTAATTCCATGATTCAAGAGGTAAGAAGTTTGATTTAGTGTAGTTTTTGAGATGGTCATAACTTGTGAATGGTAGATAAGGTTTGGAAGCCTATTTGCTTCTAATTTAACTTTATCAACTTGCATGGTCATAATTGTTATTTTTGTTCATTTTTCGGCCATAATAGGATAAATTACTTAGATATACTCTAAGGTTTGTGCTGAATACTAAAGTATAACCTATGGTTTTGTAAATACTTGTATATAATCCATGAAAACATTCTACTATTAACATTGATGGCATAGGTTAAAGGACAGAATTCAAAGAACTAAATCCCGTTATTGAATATTGGGTTCTTCTCCAAGTATGCCCAAGTTCAAAATATTCAAGAAACAAATCCCAAAAGAAAAATTGATTGATGAATAATGGATATGTACATTACGGGCTAGGAGGTGGTGTGTTTCATGAAGATTTGCATATGCTAGCGGATAATTTCTTATTATGGCTATGATCGACATTGTTATATGGATAATTGATTAACTCCACTCTTATTGTTTGTTTGACTATTGTCTTAAAATACCTCTACTATTTCTGACAATTGACTAACTGTTAAGTCTCTATCTTAACATGTGACATCACATCACATGGTTGATTAATGATCAAATAATACCAAAACTACCCTTGAATGGGCAAAAATGTCCTACCCTCGTCACAGCAGAAACGGGAACAACTAGTTTGGGTAAAAAATGGAATCTCCCTCCCTGTTATCGTCTCTATTCACCACCGTCACAGCAGAAATGGGAACAACAATGGAAACAAACAGAAACAACGTATGAACTTAATAAACAATCTCTTCGGTGGCTCCATCTGTTGCAGTTTATTCTTCAAGATTTGATAGCGTTGTGAGAAATCTCTAGCACTACCGGATCATCGGGGTTTGGGTCTATTCCACCACCGTAGATGATGAGGGGACCGCCACCGCCACCTCCACCTAATTAAGTTAGCTGATTACCATAACGCAATCGATCACTACTCACCAAAGGACCATTAATTGTATGCCAGAGGCGCCAAAGGTTACGAAGAAGACGACCAGCTATGGAGATGTGGAGGTAAATAAGAAAATATGGCAGGTCGTGAAGTGCTACCAACACCATTACTAGCAGAAGAACCAACAACTGGCTTCTCAGCTGCAGATTCGGCTAGCCATGAAGTGCTTCAGCAGCCTTCAGATGTTTGATAATTTCCCTCTTGCAATGATTTGGCATGCCAGTGCCACGGAGAGCTTCTGGTAGTGGTGAAGACGTTTTCTTGGAAGTGGATTTTGAGGTGGAAGAGTACAAATTACTATTTTTGCCTATGTTCACACTTCACACATAAATGTACAAATTACGCTATATTTAAATATTAGACTAATTCATTTCAGGTACGCCTCAATCCAAACCTAACCCGAACCCGTTTAAGGCTCACCTAACACTATTAATAGGGTCAGGTCACTGCGGATTTACCATTATGCCATTTGCATGGCCGTGTTCTCTCGGAGCGACGGGATCTGCTCCCCACGTTGACCCACCGTGCATTGAGAATATATCTCCTGTGAATAATAGGATGTGCGTGTGAGGAGAAGATCTGGTCTTTAGAATCCGATGTCATGCCATGCACGCAAAATGACTACCAGCAGCAGATGATTGATTAGATCATAGAGAGAAAGGAGGAAATTTATTATTAAAAATCAAGTTTTTTGGTTAATTGGTCATGAGACAGTAAAATGATAATTTAAAGTTTAAACTATATATATATATATATATATATATACACAATTTGACCTAATTTTGCCTATTAATTTATGCATAAAAAGACTACAGTCTTGTCAAGTGGAGTCAATTTCTTACATGGGCATAAAAATTTACATCTAAGTCACCCAAATCCTGTAATATTATTATCTTACATAATAATATCTCTGTAATATTATTATGGTTTTCGATTACTAACCTAACTATCTCAAGCATAGTTTTTAAAATCGAACGGGTCAGAGGTTCGGTTATCGGTTTGAACAGTCTGATTATTCGATTCGAACAGTCGATTCATTCTGACAAAAAATAAAAAAATTTAAAAAAATTAAAAAATTTGAAAAACGGTCAAAACCGTTCAAACGGTTTAAACAGTTAATTGGTCGGTTCAGCGGTTTGCTGACCAAAATCAATAATTTTGGAGAAAAAAACGGTTTTAGGGGAAAATGAACCAATTCCCAATTTTTCCGGTTCGACCGTTCGGTCTGGTCCGATTTTGAAAACCATGACCCCAAGCATTAAGTGGTAAATCCTCCCTCCCTGTCGATAGTTTTTCTCTCTCCTCCCTATTCATTTTCATTTCCAGCCTTTGATGGAATGAACGTCCTTCAATTCTTCCGATTATTGGCGTTCTACCTCCCGGTATTTGTAGTAGCATCGTTCGTCGACCTTTGCTCTTTGCACAAACGTAGACAAAAGATTGACGACGAGGTGAACTTTCTATTCTTCCTCGGACTACACTCAAGCAAGGTATTTCAACTAAATTGGCAGCTTGAAGTTCGTATTGCAATGCTAAAAAAATGGGCAATATCTTGCTACCTATTGCTTGTTATTGGAAGAAATAACTGATGCTGAAATTTCTGTTGGATTACGGAGATTAGTTCTTGCCCTCTTACAATTTTCTATCGAAAAAATTAGTTTTCCATCCCTTGTTTTTCGTCTAGAATCTTGCGTTTGCTTGAACCAACCCAACATTCCAGTGTGTATTCTGTAACCCACACTCGCATTCAAACCCCATTCACTCCTACTCCATGTTTTTGCATGTTCAGTATCTTGTATGCATGTTTTTTTGTTGTTTGACGAATGTTTTGTGCATTTACAATTTCATGAATGTAAATATTTTGAAACCAATGGCATCGAGAGGAATTTGCACCAGATGTTCACCAAAACACTTCAACGACTTTATTTCAAAGTTGTCGTTAAGGAGAGAGCACAATGAGGCTCTTAATGCCACCCCCTTTGGACATCTACTAGGCATTCCACCAAATACTTTTGATAAGGCGCTTATTATCGCGATGGTACAACGTTGGGACTCAGAGACCATGACATTCAATTTAGGTGTGAGTATGTATCATTTACCAACTGGGACATTGCACTAATATTGGGACTGAGGTTAGAAGGACGTCCCGTGATTACGAACATGGACTCGCCTGCACCAGAGTTCATTAGTCATTTGTTTGGAGTTAGTGCTGATTCCTCCATGCAACTGCTCCTGATCATGGTGGAGGATAAGGTCCTTAGTATAGTGCATGAGGAATTAAATGAATCAATAGAAGATGTGGTGAGGTTGATTCTTTTGCACCTTTTTGGTTCCATTTTGTTTCCACAGGGGGGTCATGTGAGCTTTGTTTGGGCTAGTTTTATCAATGATCTGGCACACATAACTCCCGTCAGAGGCATGTAGTCAGATTGGCGTTATTGGAGATGGGCGGAAGCGGCGACAGCAGCGCTGGTGGATGGTGGTCGTTATGGTTCACAGGGCTGGGGCGGAATTGGTTTGGAGGAGGAAGAAGATGAATAGTGTTTTTGCCCTTATTTGAAATATTTTTTAAAAATTATATTAAAATGATTATTTTTATTGATATTAGGGCCCAAAAGTTGCCCTTATCAGCTATAATCCTTTTTTAAATTAATTTGGACTATTGGCGGTTTTTGAGTTCTTATTCAAGGGTATGACCAAATTGGGTCACGGTTCAGCCAGTTCTTATATGAATCGAGCGGTCATGTATTTTTATTACTTATTAATAATTAATAAATAATAAAATATTTATAAATGGTTGGGCAACTATTTATTAATAGTACCATACCGATGCTATTTGTTAATATTAATTAATTAATAATATATTAATAACAATAATTATTAATTAATAATAAAGTAAAAAATATTAAATAAATACAAAACATTACTACTTAATTATTGATAATAAACTAAAATAAAATGATATTATATACTAAATAGTTAATTAATTATTGATAATAATCAAAATAATATAAAATTATTAATTTTTATTTCATAATACAAAATATTAATCACTAAAAACTAATTATTAATTACTAATTAAATAATAGAGCTATGACCTAATTGCGTATATAGAAGGATTTGGGGATCTTTTATGGGTAATACCCAGTAGAAGGTTTTGGGCTTTTTTTAGAGGGATGATCCCATTGAATTATGGTTCAACGGATTCGTAGGTGGACTGGCGGTTAGATGTTTTGTATCCAAGGGCTGATACCAGCTTCTTTTGGAAATATTTTCATCACTAGAAGTTCTTGCAATATCAAATACTGGTTTGGAGGGAAATTAAATATTCCAGAAGATTTAGGCCGACTAACACCCTTAACTTTCATTTCTATGGGTTTAAATAATCTCTCAGGTATGTTCCCTAACTCACTTTACAACATATTACCTACCTTTGGAGATTATTGTTGCCACCACCAACCAATTGTATAGGAGCTAGCATTCCACCAAATATTGATCTCACCCTTCCAAAGCTAAAAGGTTTTGTTATTCATTCAAACCATTTTACTGCAAGGATTCCTGTTTCCTTATTTAATATTTCGATCAGGAATTGAAATATTAATTTGATATTGGAAATAACAATGTTGATGGAGCAGTCCCTAGTAATTTTGGTATCCTTCAAAACCTCCAATGGCTGAATATTGCTTAAAATCGACTCGGAACAGCAAGAAATTTTTATGATTTGAGTTTCCTCACTTCCTTGACCAATTGCACACAACTTCCAAAGTTATCCATAATAAGCAATAATATTTTCAGGGGGTGTTCTTTTTTCTGGATTTTGAGAGAGGGAAAATTGGTCAATGGGATTTTGATTCCCATTGACCAAGAATCTTATGTTCTTTTTTCATATTTATGTGAGGACCAGGGAAAGTTTATTTTCCTGTGTATCAGTTATCCGGGTAAATAATACCCATCTCCTAAGTGGGTAAATGACTTTCCCACCTAGGGGGAAAATTACCAACACTTGAATGGAACAAAAATGTCCCTTTTAATAATGGATTTTTATGGCTAAAATGGGTATTGCCTTATTTATATTGGAAATAAAAGGACATGGTTAAATGTATTTACCCGGGTAAGTCTTTCCTGGGAAACATTAGGGTAAATACATTTACCTGGGTAAATAACTTATCGAAAAGCGAATGAGACCTCAAAGGTTCATTGCCAAGTTCCATAGCTAATCTCTCAACTAAGCTTGAATATCTTACCTTGGGAGCCAACCAAATATCAGGTAGAATCCCCACATCAACTTATTACAACTGGGCATGCAACAAAATTTATTGACAGCCTGACAGGTAATATTCTTGCTAACATTGGAAGGGTCCAAAAGCTTGGACAAAAATGACTATCCCACCTAGGAGGGAAATTTCCAACACTTGAATGGGACAAAAATGCCCCTTTTAATAACGGATTTTTATGGCTAAAATGGTCATTGCCTTATTTAGATTGGAAATAAAAGAACATGGGTAAATGCATTTACCTGGGTAAGTCTTTCCTGGGAAACACTTGGGTAAATACATTTACCCATGTAAATAACTTACCGAAAAGCGAACGAGGCCTCAAAGGTTCATTGCCAATTCCATAGCTAATCTCTCAACTAAGCTTGAATATCTTACCTTGGGAGCCAACCAAATATCAGGCAAAATCCCCACATCAACTTATTACAACAGGGTGTGCAAGAAAATTTATTGACAAACTGACAGCTAATATTCCTGCTAGAATTGGAAGGGTCCAAAACCTTGGACAAAAATGACCATCCCACCTAGGGGGGAAATTGCCAACACTTGAATGGGACAAAAATGCCCCTTTCAATAATGGATTTTTATGGCTAAAATGGTCATTGCCTTATTTACATTGCAAATAAAAGAACAAGGGTAAATGCATTTACCCAGGAAAGTCTTTCCTGGGAAACACTTGAGTAAATACATTTACCTAGGTAAATAACTTACTGAAAAGCAAACGAGGCCTCAAAGGTTCATTGCCAAGTTCCATAGCTAATCTCTCAACTAAGCTTGAATATCTTACCTTGGGAGCCAACCAAATAACAGGTAGAATCCCCACATCAACTTATTACAACTGAGCATGCAACAAAATTTATTGACAGCCTGACAGGTAATATTCCTGCTAGCACTGGAAGGGTCCAAAAGCTTGGACAAAAATGACCGTCCCTCCTAGGGGGGAAATTGCCAACACTTGAATGGGACAAAAATGCTCCTTTTAATAATGGATTTTTATGGCTAAAATGGTCATTGCCTTATTTACATTGGAAATAAAAGAACATGGGTTAATGCATTTACCCAGGTAAGTCTTTCTTCGGAAACACTTGGGTAAAAACATTTACCCAGGAAAATAACTTACCGAAAAGCAAACGAGGCCTCAAAGGTTCATTGCCAACTTCCATAGCTAATCTCTCAACTAAGCTTGAATATCTTACCTTGAGAGCCAACCAAATATCAGGCAGAATCCCCACATCAACTTATTACAACTGGGCATGCAAGAAAATTTATTGACAGCCTGGCAGGTAATATTCCTGCTAACATTGGAAGGGTCCAAAAGATTGGACAAAATTGACTTTCCCACCTAGGGGGAAAATTGCCAACACTTGAATGGGACAAAAATGCCCCTTTTAATAATGGATTTTTATGGCTAAAATGGTCATTGCCTTATTTACATTGGAAATAAAAGAACATGGGTAAATGCATTTACCCGGGTAAGTCTTTCCTGGGAAACACTTGGGTCAATACATTTACCCGGGTAAATAACATAGCGAAAAGCAAACGAGGCCTCAAAGGTTCATTGCCAAGTTCCATAGCTAATCTCTCCACTAGGCTTGAATATTTTTCCTTGGGAGCCAACCAAATATCAGGCAGAATCCCCACATTAAATTATTTCAACTGGGCATGCAAGAAGATTTATTGATAGCTTGACAGGTAATATTCCTGCTAACATTGGAAGGGTCCAAAAGCATGGAGAAAAATGACTGTCCCACCTAAGGGGAAAATTACCAACACTTGAATGGGACAAAACTGCCCCTTTCAATAATGGATTTTTATGGCTAAAATGGACATTGCCTTATTTACATTGGAAATAAAAGAACATGGGTAAATGCATTTACCCGAGTAAGTCTTTCCTAGGAAACACTTGGGTAAATACATTTTCCCGGGTAAATTAATTAACAAAAAGTGAAGGAGGCCTCAAAGGTTCATTGCCAAGTTCCATAGCTAATCTCTCCACTAAGCTTAAATATCTTACCTTGGGAGCCAACCAAATATCATGTAGAATCCCCACATCAACTTATTTCAACAGGGATGCAAGAAGATTTATTCACAGCCTGACAGGTAATATTCCTGCTAACATTGGAAGGGTCTAAAAGCATGGAGAAAAATGACTGTCCCACCTAGGGAGAAAATTGCCAACACTTGAAAGGGACAAAACTGTCCCTTTCAATAATGGATTTTTATGGCTAAAATGGACATTGCCTTATTTACATTGGAAATAAAAGAACGTGGGTAAATGCATTTACCCGGGTAAGTCATTCCTGGGAAACACTTCGGTAAATACATTTACCCGTGTAAATTACTTACCGAAAAGCGAAGGAGGCCTCAAAGGTTCATTGCCAAGTTCCATAGCTAATCTCTCCACTAAGCTTGAATATCTTACCTTGGGAGCCAACTAAATATCAAGCGGAATACCCACATCAACTTATTATAACTGGGCATGCAAGAAAATTTACTGACAGCCTGACAAGTAATATTCCTAGTAGCATTGGAAGGGTCCAAAAGCTTGGACAAAAATGACTTTCCCACCTAGGGGGAAAATTTCCAACACTTGAATGGGACAAAAATGCCCCTTTTAATAATGGATTTTTATGGCTAAAATGGTCATTGGCTTATTTACATTGGAAATAAAAGAACATGGGTAAATGCATTTACCCTAGTAAGTCTTTCCTGGGAAAATTGGGTAAATAACTTATTGAAAAGCAAATGAGGCCTCAAAGGTTCATTGCCAAATTCCTTAGCTAATTTCTTCACTAAGCTTGAATATCTTACCTTGGGAGCCAACCAAATATCAGGCAGAATCCCCACATCAACTTATTTCAACTGGGCTTGCAAGAAAATTTACTGACAACCTGATAGGTAATATTCCTGCTAGCATTGGAAGGGTCCAAAAACTTGGACAAAAATGACTTTCCCACCTAGGGGGAAAATTGCCAATACTTGAATGGGACAAAAATGCCCCTTTTAATAATGGATTATTATGCATAAAATGG